GTGGCCCGGCTAGGCCGAGCCACCGGGTTACGGTTCGGCCAGATTTGATGAATTTTTGGTTTTGACGGTTTTTCTTGGGATTTGTTTGTTCCTAAGCATCCCAATTGATTTGATACTGTGGTTATTCAGTTATTAACAGAAGATAAGGAGGAATCCCTCGTTCTTATCAAAACATCCGCTTCTGAAGCTTATAAATACGAGCTCGGGTGCTCATTTCTCGGGGGCTGGACAACAAGAGGGCGAAATACTGCTGAATTAGAGAGTGGAGCCATGAATTTACAGCAAGGGTTAGCAGATCTTGGCGATCTCCCGTGCATAAAGAGTGGAGTTCAAGAGATCTGAGACCCGTCCCCTATTCCTCTGGATTTAAGCTTGGTCTTAAATCTTAAGAAGAGCCGTGATCTAGCTTGATCGAGATTATCGCTGCAGCGATTATTTCCTTCGTGAAGTAAGAGCTTTGATCAACTTAATCTGTCAACCGGATCTGATCCGTGGCGGTCCACGGATATTAACGTCCCCGGCACAGGCAAAGTTCCCACGCAAGCAGCGGGTGATAAACGTTCGTTGCGCTGTTTGACAAAAGTCGTATCTTTTGTATTTTCATTGTATAAGAAGATCTTATAAAGAGATCAACTTTTATTTGAGTTTATTATAAACGATTAAAGTTGTAATAGATGCAATCACAATGAAAACAACGATTTTTGACCCAAACACGCTGGCGACCACAGTGGGAGCCAATAGCTTCAATGCCGAAGCTATCATACCGCAACCACGGATCCGGATCCTGGTTTACGAAGAGGTTGAGTACGAGTTCGACCAACTGAAGTTCGAGGAGTATCTGTCGAACTCCTCCGCCAGATCCTCTGTCCCTCACAAGCGCATGTAGATCAAAGCCCCCGTTGCTACGGTAGCTGCACCTTGTAACGCCCCTTCAGCCTCCAACGAAGCCGGATTTACAGATCTGGACTCCTCCTCTATCAATGAGATAACCGATGTAACCGCGCTAACTTTATCGAAGAGGACACGCCAATGGCAGCACCAACGACTTACGCGCCGATTTGCTAAGGCTTTGGAGCCTGTTGACGGGATTGGCTATGAGGCGGATCTGAAACGCAGAAGGCACCGAATGCCCCAACAGCAAATAAATAGCCTCTCCTCCAAATCAACAGCGAATGTGTGGATCCAAGTCAAATGGACCCGCTCAACCCTCGAGGAGCGCATTCAGAAGCGTCACGCCTTGATTGCACACGCGCGAATTCTCATACGAGAAGCGCAGAAGCTGAAGCAAAAGAAGGTGATCAAGAAGCTACCGAAACCACGCCAAGTCTGGAAACCAAAGTCCGAAACGACGTCGACAAAAAGTCAAACAGCGCCCGGAACTGTCAAAATATGCGAACCACCATCTGGTGGCTCGGCCAAAACCGAGCCACCAAATGGTGGCTCGGCCCACCACTAATTGGTGGTTTGTGCCGGTTCGTGTCCGGTTTGGTTCGGTTCGCGTCCGGTTTGGTTCGGTTCGTACCTAGTTCGGTTCGCTTCGCACCCGGTTCACCTCCCGCAGTCCCGTTTAAACCACCGACAGGACCCCGCGGTAGCGTGGACTTGTCCTAATTTAAGACGAGGATGATGGATCGACTGTGTCCTTTACATGAGGATTGAGGCAAAGTTCTGATCAAAGAACGCTTGAGTCCAGTGACTGAACCCCGAGCAACCACTCGAGCTGGGAGTCGCTCACACCCTCGCAACAAGTCAGAGCTTTCCTATAATGGGAAAACCCCTGCACTTGACCGCCTCAGACGACGAATTGAAGTCCAAGAGCCCATAAAGTGTTCACGCTCCAAAAAACATAGCTCCAAATACGTGACTCTTAAGAACGCCAATAAGGCAGCAAGCTCTCAGAAAGAAACGTGTTCGTCGGACGACGACGTTATACCTGAAAAGTCATGCCAACACGCGATAGGTTGCTCTGGCCATATGACCGACGAGTTGTACTATCGGGCTGGGGGTACGAACAAGTCTCGAAAGAGAAGTACCCAAGAAATAGAATCTCACTGCCCGTGCGCTAAACTAATCAGGGCAGTATTATCAGCGTATAGCTACCCCAAGGCCACTCCACAAAGGGTCTCGATATTTGAGAGGATCTCTAACGGAGCAACTAAGTCCAAGCCAAAACGTTTCCGCAAGAAACAATCTGCCGTTCAAGGTGACGAACCTCCGGAAGTAACAATAAATATGGCTGATAAGGGAAAGTTAACTCGATCTTCTAGCTCCGACCCCATCGTATCGCATCGTCTAACTCGGCTACGTGCAGCGTAGGGACTACCAAAGAATGCAGAGAGGGTTATCCTCGGATGATAAAGCATCAGATACTAACTCTGCAGTCGCTTCTGATAATACAGTATCTAGCCCAGGGCAATCCCGCGAAGTGTTTATGATTAACACCGAGGAAGCAACTAAAATGGTTGAGAGTGTTTATGATTAACACCGAGGAAGCAACTAAAATGGTTGAGGATGCTCTAGCCAAGCAGAAGCAAGCATTTAAATCTAAAATGGTTGAGGATGCTCTAGCCAAGCAGAAGCAAGCATTTAAATTCGAAATGGAAATGACTATGTTACGGATGAGGGAAGAGCATGACCAATAGATCCGAGCCTTGACGAATCAACTAGGTGAATCCAGTCGTCGCAACGATGTTAGCCAAGTAGCTAGCGATTCAGACGTGGATGAATATATTAATGCTAATGACCATCCCGTTGACCAGAATGCTATGGGTGATCCCACTAAAAACAACGACGCTGGAGGTGGTCCCACCGAAAATGACAACATTGGGGGTGGCCCCATTGTACCTCTTAAGAATCGTCCAAAGCCCGATACGAGTGAGGATGAGAAAATGAAAGATCTCGAGAGAAAAATCAACGCTCTGATGTCTGCTCGAGAGGTGAAAAGGACCGACTTTCCATGTCCTTATCTAAGAGAGTGGGATTCAATAGCATACCCGGCGAAGTTCAACTTAATTAACTTTACGCCATTTTACGGGAAGGGTTTGTCCACTCAACACCTGATCTAGTTCAAGTCCCACTTGG